GCGTGGTGCTTAGTTGCTGGCTGGGGCTAAATCATGACAATACCAATATAGTTTATATAGTTTATATAGTTTTTATAATAGCAGGAACAAAGTCAAGAGTAAGCATAAATATGAAAAAGATGGTTGCAAAAAAATTCAGGATTATTTTTAATAGACAAATTAAAAAAAGAAAGAGGGAGAACTCCAGACTCGTTCAAACCAAGGGTCCATCTAATTCAGTATTTTATTTCCAGCAGTGGCTACCAGTGGGTGCACAGAGACACAGCAGTAGTATATTATACTTCTCCTACCATTCTTCAACATTACAGTCTCCCAGTTCACAACTATTTTCATCTCAGAGAATTCCTTGAGCCTCACACAGTTTGTCTGTCAAGAAATCCTCAATTAATTTCTCTTTCAATGAATTTCTCTTTGTCCAGCTGAGCTCCTGCCATCTCTTGCATCCTCAATGTCTTTTGTCTAGGAGTTTCATAGGTTTACAAAACATTGATTTGTTTTGGAAGACTTACATAGCAAGTGCAAAAAGTAGCAAATTATTATTACTTTTGTTGTTAGTAGCAGCAGTAGTAGTAGCAACAGTAGTAGTAGCAGCAGCAGTAGTAGTAGTAGCATTACTGTAAAATTCCTAGCACTCTCTGTTGGTATTTAATGTTATTAAATAGTCTTATATTTTATTTCTATATCCTATCAAGTGCTTAGTTTTAAAATAGCTTATTAAGTTAGGTTGACACATCTTCGATATCACATAGTTATTAAGTAATTCCAAAGTACTATACAGAATCCCAAAATCTATATCATTTGTTTCACTGTAGCATTAGGTGTCCTATACATGGATAAACAACACTTCTTTGTGCTGGCCCAGTGCAACATACAATACCAGCAGAAGGTCTTCGCTCCAAGGAGTTTACAATCTAAGGCCATGGGTTTACAAGCCGGGTGAGCCAGTCTAAGATTTACCTCCTTTAGAATGAATGAGACCATTAACTCCCCAGCTAGTGAGAAGCTTACCTGGCAAATGCACTAGCTAGCACAGTTAGTGAGTTCAGTTAGTTAATGGGAAGATCTGAGACACACCATTACCACTACAGAGTAGGACTGAAGGTAGGAAGGTGGTAGTGGGGAAAGGAGGAGTACAGCAAAGCAGAAAAGAGTAATGGATCTTCTTTCAGGTGCAGTCACTTTTTAGATCGGCTCAAATTTTCATGGAACCACAGACTGAATAATCACTTCTTGCTTTATATCATTTGACCCTAAATAACTTCCATAAAGTAACACACTCCCATACAATGTATGATAATGTCTGTCAAAGCAATAGTCTCATTCCTTTGGAGATTATTGTGTACTGTCCATTAATGTATATTTCCATAGATGAATACATGCAATATTGCCCATTTACATAGTGGATGCTAACAAATTAACCATTTCAAGTGCTGTAGAACTGGATCGAGTTGGGCCTTGTGGACTTGAGTAGAATTTTTTTATTCTTTTTTGAAAATATATTTGTTATTATTATTATTATCACAGGTCAGATGACAATGATTGTGGGTCAGGTTGGCTGTGGCAAGTCATCACTTCTCCTTGCTATATTGGGAGAGATGCAGACGCTGGAGGGAAAAGTTCACTGGAGCAAGTATGTTTCATATAGCTATTAATTTCTGTATTCATTTAAGAAAGAGGTAGTTGGGTTTTGCTGTGAGAAATGTAAACTTCATGCCTCAGAACTGCATGTTAAATAATTGTCATCACCCAGATCCTCTCTGGAAGGCATCACCTGCAAACTTATGAAGGATTTTCATTGCTGTTCTGTTCACGGTTCAGAGCGGACTGCATCAGGAAGGGAAAGAGGATAGTCTGGTGATTAATATCTAATATATTAGCCCTAGCAAATGACCTGAATAGAAAGCATATACTATTCCTGTTATCCGAGAGTCTTCAGTGGTGGGAGTCAGCTCTAGATTTACGGTACTCACTATAATTGAGGACAGCATTGCTGTGCTGCTCCTATACACACCTGCGAAAGCATGACAGGCTGGAGCTTCTTCAGTCGAGACGTATGTGTGGGGTACCAGCATACAGGAAAGGCTGTCTTTCCCACTCACTGATGCTGCTGCTAGCAGAAAAGAAAGGTGATCTAATAACATGAGAGCAATGCTTTTCCCCTTCCCTGGTAACTGCCCAAGGCTTGCCTATGTAAGTCAGTGTTACTCTTCACAGTAATATGTTCAGAAAGCAGCCTGAGGACGCCAAATACCTAAAGACGGAAGAAGCTGTTCCTGAAGAGGGAACTGCTAGTGGGGTCAGGCCTCAGCATCCACATGGATTCAGACCCAGTGGATGAGAACTTCCTATGGCGACTAGGTGGGGCAGCAACCACTCTTCCAGCCTAGGCAGGGCAGAGGCTGTGGAAGGGATGTGCTGTAACCCCAAGGCTTGTTCTTTTATTTTAACGATCATTTCTGTTTCCTTAAAACTGCCAAGCCAAAGTCTTCTTAATTAGCTTTTTGAGGAGAAAGGGTGAATTTTGTCACAGAGACCAACACTTTGTTGCCCCATCCCTTGAATAGTAACCTCCTTTGTCATCTTTTTCTTACAGCAGTGTTGCAGGCTGGATATTTTTGTTTTTCCTGTGTTAGTATGTGTGGCATTTTTTGTTCCCCAGCCATATTTCACTGTCTGCTATTCTAAACGTATGATCTCACTGGAGTAGCAGGTACAGTTGGAGCCAAGGCAAGACTAACTTTAGTTTAATTATATGTGAGTTTAAGCTTTGAAGGAAGAAGAATATGTGACTTAGCACAGTTAATTTCTTTGAGACATGTAATGCAGGTTTTGACTTCACAATCAGGCATTTTCTTCTGAATAGTTTAAGAAAATACAAGGAGTAAATAGAGTGTACCTTGAAATTATTCTCACAGTTTTCAAAGGTATATTTGAGAAAGAATCAAATTTGTCCTAGAGAAATATATGGAATCTTAGGAAGATTAGACAAAGAGAGAAATCTTAGAAAGATACTAGAGAAAGATTATGAAATACTAGTTAAGTTTCACATTGTTCAAGAGGGATTAAGATGATATTGTCAGTTCATTAGCAGTCTGTACATAACCAAACAGGTAACTCAGGTTTCAGCAAGCATCTCAGGCCTTACTGAGCGACTTTTTTTCATTGCAAACCATAATGTGGTACTGTGATATAGCTGATGCAAACATGGTTATGTTTTGCTGATGATTTCAGACTGCCTGACAGACAGATGAATACAGAAGGATACTTCAGGTATTTAAGTGGATCCTATACTTTACAAAACCCTCATAAAGGTCCTATTTACTCTCTTAAATCCCTTTCCATGTGATTCCACATGCATGACTAACGCAGCTACTGATCCAGGGATGAAATGCAGGCTAGGTGAATTCCCCAACCAATTCAGGTATAACAACACAGTAATAGTAATGATGGATCAGATTTCAGCCCCAATTATATTGGGGTAATCCTGCAATGCATCATTGTGAAAGCCCATCATGGGGCTTGAATATCTGGTTGCTGTTGTGGTTGACTGCAGTGAGAGCTGTCTGTCCTATTGCCAGGGTT